TTCTCTCTCCCTCTCCCCCTCCTTCCCCTCCCTCCTCTCTCTCTCTCTCTCTCTCTCTCTCTCTCTCTCTCCCCTTCTCTCTCTCTCTCTTTCTCTTTCTTTTTACATTTTACTTTTTTAAAAAAGATTTTATTTATTTATTATGTATACAACATTCTGCTTCCATGTATATCTGCACACCAGAAGAGGGCACCAGATCTCATAACGGATGGTGGTGAGCCACAATGTGGTTGCTGGGAATTGAACTCAGAACCTCTGGAAGAGCAGTCGGTTCTCTTAACCTCTGAGCCATCTCTCCAGCCCAACATTTTACTTTTATGGGACAGGGTCTCATGTATCCCAGGCTGGCTTTGAACCCACTAGGTAGCCAAGGATGATGTCAAACTCCTGATCCTGCCGCTTCTGCCTCCCAAGTGCTTGGGAGGTTTGTGCCACCACACCTGGCCACTTTTTTTTTCTTTAGAGACACTTTTTTTTTTCTTTAGAGTCTTTTTCTGTACCCCGGTCTGGCCTCAAACCTGTAGCAATTCTGCCTCAGCCTCCCATGTTCTAGGATGACAGGTGTGAGCCACCATGTCCATGTGATGAGTCTCAGGGCTCTGGTTCAGTAGCAGTTGGATAGAACATGTTTTGGACACTTGAGTTTAAGTCATGGCCACAGTTCCAGGAACAGAGACAGCAGAACAAGGAGGGCTGAATGGCATCTGCTTTACCCTGGAGTGGTTCCTCAGATGCCACCTTTGGTACCTAGAGCCAGCTCATTTTCTGTTGTGGGACAGCTGCCCCAGGCATTGCGAGTAACTAAGTATGATGCTCTTCACTGTGATACAACTATAAATATCTCCAGACACTGTCCAGCGCCTCCTGAATACAAAAATCACATCACCCTGGGAGTGGCTGTACTGGATCAAGGTGTGGGAAGGAGGCACTCATGAAGGGGCTGGAAAAGGTGGTGGGGGCCAGGGCTGGGAATACAGCTGTGTGGGTCGGATGCTTGCCTAGCTCTGAGCTCCTAAAGACTGACTCCCCAAGACAGCATTTTCCAAGTTAGCTTCTGCCCTGATGACTCTCAGCAAATGTCATCCTCCAGGCCTGTCCTTACCTACAACATGACACACACCTCCACAGAGGAGATACATGGCTTGGGAGCAGAACTCCATTAATCTGGCAATCGGTTGCTGGTACAGAGAGATACAAGATGGCTATATCCACACAAGGGCTTTGTGATGTCCATGTCATCCCAGCTTGCCTATCTCATGTCCTTGACCCACACCCTGTGGTCATCCCTGTTGTGGGTGATCAGAGGGAGCAATGACAACACACAACTTGTTCTGCCTGGGGGTGGGTATGCCTGGGCAAGCCGACTGTGCCGTTGTCAAACTGTGTTCATCTGTATTCTCAGTCCAGCCAGTGAGACAAGAGAGCTTTTTTAGGGCGGCCAGAGAAAGAAGCAGTCAGTCCGTTTGCCTGTGTGTGTGTGTGTGTGTGTGTGTGTGTGTGTGTGTGTGTACCCTTGTGGATACACAGGCCTCTTCACACAGCCAGAAACAGGTCAGAGGCTTGGAGTAGAGCTGGAAGGATTTTTAGATGTAAGACCCACCCCCAGATCTAGGTCATGGTAGTGATGGTGGTGTTGATGGTGATGATGATGACGGTGATGATGAAGGTGATGGTAGTAGTGATGGTGATAATGGTGTCGATAGTGATTGTAGTGATGGTGATGATGAAGACTACTAATACACACTAGCTGCCTGTTGTATTTCATGTCTGTCATCTAACACTCATTCACATCTCCAAAGCCTGGCACAGAGGTGTGGCTCTCATCCCCATTTACAAATGAACAAACAGAGGCTGTGGGAGACAAAGGCTCTTGCCCAGAACCACTTATCTAGTAACAGCAGAGCCTGGACTTGAACCCAATCTCCTGGGTCTTACCCATCTGCCCTTTTATATGTAGAGTCCCTAGAGGATGGCAGTAAGCAGCTCTGTCAATCACTGGGTTGGGAGTCCTGCCCAAGTCCCGCCTCTCACTAGCTCTGTGACCTGAGAGTCCCTCCCCCTCCCCCGCTTCTTTCTATTTTGAGACAAGAACTCACTCTTTAGTCCAGGCTGACCTCGAACTCGAAGTTCTCCTGCCTCCACCTCTGATGTCCTGAGCCGCCATGTGGCTGGGCTGTGGCTGTTTCCTAGCCACATACTGGTGTCCAGCAACTACCTGGCTTTCCTGTTGTTGTGGGATGGACCCCAGGGCCCCTGGCAAAGGCTCTTTAGTGCTACCCCATTTCCATGCCCCAGGTCCTACAGGCCCTTGAGAGATAAGTGTCTTCATTTGCTAGTGAAGAAACCAGGAGGAAAGGGAAAGTGGACAGAGATTGAGGAGCAGGATGGAGACCAGAACTGAGTGCCCTCCCCTGCCACCACCACCCGGGACTGGACCAGGGGGGGCGTGGCTTTAGGGGAGTGGCCTGTCTGGGCCCTTATTGGCTGCCCTGCAGTTTCTCCAGAGAATAAAGCCCTGGAGCAAAGCTGTCTGCCAACCTTCTACTCTCCCAGGACACAGACAAAATCTACCCCTCTAGCTTGCTTTGTCCAGCTCCTTCTGTGCCAGGTACGTGGCCCCCAGCCTCAGCCTCACCCAAGAACTGACAGCCAGAGACAGCCAGAGTTGGGTACCCAGGGAAGGGGAGAGGGGCTGGGGCACATCCAGTTCAAGTCCCCGTGTTCTGATCTGTAAAATGGGACGGTGGTAGGACCCTCAAGCTCAGGATGCCACTGGGTGAGATGTGACAGGCTGTGTTTACTGAGTGCTCATGTGAGCCAAATGACAAGGGAGGGACTTCTGCCCTGGAGCTAGTGCCCTGCACCAGCTACATTTGCTAAGACCCCCACCCTGTGCCTTTTCCTCAAGAGTCTCACCATCTATGGAGCCGGGTAGGACTGCTCTCTGGGGTGGGAATCATTGCGGAGTATCATTTTTCCAAAGGTCCCCAATGTTGCAACCTGAGACAGGGACCAGGCGGGGCTTCCCAAAGCCACCTGGAAGGGGTCTACATGGTGGGTACCACCCACCAGCCAGAGGCTACATCAGCTGTGCCTTTTAGATCCAGAGGAGGCCCAGTGTGTCAGGATGGGACCTAGCTGAAAGATAAAACAAACAAATTTGGAGGTACCCTTGATTGGCATGCCCTTCTTCCCTGGCTGTCATTCAAGAGGTCTACTAGAAAGGGGGGCCTAGTTGGCTTGCCTGCAATCTCAGCACTTGAGAGGCAGGAGAATCACAATGAATTTGAGTCCATCTCTCTTGACACTGAGGCAGGAAGATCACAACAAGTGCAAGTCTCTCATATACGCACAGGATCGCACACACTTACACACAAACGCACAAATGCATGTACACGTGAGTCACCATCTGCCTAGGCTTGATCCTACTTGGCCCTAGATCTCTCTTAGGGATTCCCACTGAGCTGCAAGGTGACAGTGGCTGAGCCAGTGTTAACCCAAAGGCTTCCTCACTGTCATGGTGCCATTAGCTAAACCTGAACTTGTCATGTAGCCTGGAAAGGGTTCCTCTCAATGTGGGAACTGTGTGATCTCCACGCTAAGAAAAAAAAATCTATAATTCTATTTGTAAAAAACTGAGAGCCACCAGGTGGTGGTGGCACACACCTTTAATTCCAGTACTTGGGAGGCAGAGACAGGTGAATCTCTGAGTTCAGGGGCGGTCTGGTCTACAAAGTGCTTCCAGGATAGCCAGGGCTACACAGAGAAACCCTATTTCAGAGAGAGAGGGGGGTCTTTTGTTTTTGTTTGGAGATAGGGTCTTATGTAGCCAAGGATGACCTTGAATGCCCAATCCTCTTGCTTTCACATCCCAAGTACCAGGATACAGGCCTGCACCAAGACCAGAGGCTCATTTTTTAAAATTGTATGTGTTGAACACCAGGCATGGTGGGACACACCTGTGATCCCAGCCATTGGGAGACTGAAATGGGAGGATCAAAAGTTCAAAGCTAGGTGAGTTCTAGGCCAGCCTGGTCTACAGAATGAGTTCCAGGGCAGTTAGGGCTATTACACAGAGAAACCCTGTCTTGAAAAACAAACAAACAAACCCCTCAAAACACAAACAAAAATTTCAAAGCTAATCTAGACTACATAGTAAGAACATACTGTATGTTTGTTTTTTAAATCATATGTGGGGTTGAAAGATGGCTTAGTCTGTGAAAGGGCCTCCTGTGAAAGCCCTTCCTATAAGGACCTGTGTCCACAGTCCTAGAACTAACTCACTGCCAAGCACAGAGCTGGGTGTTGGTGGTGCACACCTTTAATCCCAGCACTCAGGAGGCAGAGGCAGTCAGATCTCTGTGGGTTCGAGACCAGCCTGGTCTACAAGAGCTAGTTCCAGGACAGTTCCAAAGCCACAAAGAAACCCTGTCTCGAACCACCCCCCCAAAAAAAATGCCAAGCACAGAAAAAAAAAAAAACAAACTTTGATCCCAGCATTAGAGATCAAGAGACAGAAGGATCTGTGGGGCTCACTGGCCAGCCAGTGTAATTGAATCAGTGAGCTCCAGGCTCAGTGAGAAACCCTGCCTGAAAAAATAAACTAGATTGTAATAGAGGAAGACATCAGATGTTGATCACTGGTCTCTGAACACACACACACACACACACACACACACACACACACACACACACACACATTCTGATTCAGCTTGTGCAAGCCCCTTCCCCTGTTTTTGCTCAAGTCTGCAGCCTAAGGATGTTTGTGTAAGAGCCTTCCTCTGGACTTGCCCAAGTCTGCAGCCTAAGGATGTTTATGCAAGAGCCTTCCCCTGCCATATGAGGAAGTTTCTGAGCTCATAACCTTCCAGCTCCTGGGGGGGGGGCAGCTGAGATTTTCTTCTGTGCCCTTTCCTTATCATCGTGGATATGAAGGAGGGTCATAGAGCTTAGGAGGGCAGCTGTCTTGACCTTTTGCATCTCCTCCCTGCCTCCCAGCCATGGCGGCCCAGGAGCCTCTCCACGTGAAAACCCCACTTCGTGACAGTATGGCTCTGTCTAAAGTGGCTGGCACCAGTGTGTACCTAAAGATGGACAGCTCTCAGCCCTCAGGCTCCTTCAAGATCCGAGGCATTGGGCACCTCTGCAAGACGGTACAGGGCAGGGTGGCATCCTGGCAGGAAGGGCACTCCCTCCTACCTGACAGTTCTAGAGCCAGGTGTGCAGACGTACAACCAAGATTTCAGCACTCAGGAAACTGAGGCAACAGGGTGGAAAGTGAGTAGCATCCTAGGCTGCATAGCAAGACTCTGTTTCTAATCATCGTCATCATCATCATCAGGGCTGGAGTTTAGAAGGCTCAGCAGTTAAGACCACTAGCTGCTCTTGCAGAGAGCCTGAGTTCAGATCCCAGCAATCACATGGTGGCTTACAATTACCTGTAACTCCAGTTCCAGGGGATTTTGACGCCCTCTATGATCTCCAAGAGCAATTACACCCATGTGCATATAATTTAAAAAGAAATAAATATTGGGAGAGATACCTAAGCAGTTAGGAACACTTGAGGCTCTTTCAGAGCCTCGCTCTCAGCATCCAAGTTGGTGTCTCACCTCTAACTCCAGCTCCAGGGCATCTGATGCTGTCTTCTGCCCTCTGAATATGCATAAATAAAATCTTAAATAAGTACAATCTTTCTAAACAGAAAATAATTTCAGAATAGGCTATACATATCAGGATTCCCTCTGGCAAAGGGGTGCCAACCCATGAGAGTCCCTCAAGATTGACACCTGCCCCCTTGCCCCAGCCAGTCTCCTTGGGGGAAGATACGCCTGAGGGAGGGAGGTTCAGATGCCAAGAGGAGAAAGGTGGGTTCGATGTGGATTGAAGATGTTCCAGTGGGAGGGACCGAGAGATAGTCTGACCTCTCCTCTTGTCTCCACAGAAGGCAGAACAAGGCTGTAAACATTTTGTCTGCTCTTCAGGTAAGTAATCAAGAGGCTTTCTTTCCCTTCCTATCCTGGACTGTGTGTCCTGAGGCCAGGCACATCACCTCTCTGGGCCCTGGTCTCTGCAGCAGTAAGCCCATTCATAGAAGTCCAGATTTGGGGTTCCAGGATGAGGCAGAGGTCACTTGGGAGGAGAGGGGAGTCCAGAGCCTGACAGGAAGGGAATGATCCGCCCCACCTGGGGCCGCAGACCCTCCTTACCGACGCCCTCTCCATTGCCACCCTGACAGCGGGCAACGCGGGCATGGCAACTGCTTATGCTGCCAGAAGGCTGGGCATCCCAGCCACTATCGTCGTACCCAGCACCACACCTGCCCTCACCATCGAGCGGCTCAAGAGTGAAGGCGCCACAGTTGAAGTGGTGGGAGAGGTGAGTGCGGACCGGCAGATGGCAGGTGGCAGGGCTGAGAGGGCTCCTGACATCTGGGCAGAGTCCTCGTCATTTCATTCTCTTTCTGCTCCTATTGCCCTGCAGATGTTGGATGAGGCCATCCAACTGGCCAAGGCTCTGGAAAAGAACAACCCAGGGTGGGTGTACATCCCCCCTTTCGATCATCCCCTCATCTGGTAAGTTGGGGCCACCTCACTCCTTACTGCACATACCTGCCATAATGTGTAATGCCTGCTGATTCTCCATGCTGCACACCCAATTTATGCAGGAGAGAACACACAAAGACCCAGATGCACACATCAGCAATGGGGGTGGGGGGTGGGGTGTCTCCAGACACAGAGTTGGGGAGATCAGCTCATCTGGGGGTGACTAGGAACAAATGAGGTGGGGACACATTGATGAAGGTAGCTCTCATGTGATAACATCTGCCATGGGCAACTGAACCTCAGCCCCTGGGGACATTGGGAGTCTGGGGAGAATGAGCATCCAGGAAATGTGTCCACTGATGGGTAGGAAGTGGGTGTTTATCCACCCACTCCCACAGCCATCCTCTTCGATGGGGGTGGGGTGGGGTCATGTCTCCTACACAGTCAGTGTCCTATGAGACCATGGCTCACATGGGCAGGGACCATTTCTGGGCTTCACCACTCCCTGGGATGGAAACAAATACAGACCTTATCTGGCATCTTCAGCCATCCATTGTATCTTCAGGAAGTCCATCCCTGACCTGCCACCCTTCTCCTGCCCAGGGAAGGCCATACTTCCATCGTGAAGGAACTGAAGGAAACGCTGAGTGCCAAGCCTGGAGCCATTGTGCTATCAGTGGGCGGCGGGGGCCTGATGTGCGGAGTAGTCCAGGGGCTGCAAGAGGTGGGCTGGGAGGATGTGCCCATCATTGCCATGGAGACCTTTGGCGCCCACAGCTTCCATGCTGCCATCAAGGAAGGAAAGCTGGTCACCCTGCCCAAGATCACCAGGTAAGCCTAGGTACCTCCCTGTTATACACACAGTGAAAAGAGGCTTTGGTCATTTGCCCAAAGTCACACAGGTATGTGTGTGGGACAACTGGGTCTTTATGTGAATAATGGTAGGTAATGTCCATCACTTCTTGAGGTCCTCATGCCTCACTTCTTTGCTGGCTGCTTTTCTGGCTTCCAAGATGTTCAAGACCCTGGCTGACCCTGGGGACGGCAGGGGGGGGGGGGGAGAGACACCATCTTGCCTGCAAGGAATTTATAATCAAATCCAAAATTGAACTTTGTTTCTCCCTTCTTGAGAGAGGGGGGGGGGACTATTAGGAACAGCTCCTTGAAACTGGGGCCAAGTTCCTTGAGTCTGTTGCCTCACTACTCTGAGTGTGTCGACCTAGAGTCCAAAGTGGATGCTTTGTGCCAGCCATCACACCCACACTCCACCTGAAAACAGGAAGTGAGGGCAGAAGGACGCACCTAAACTTTAAAGACAAAGTGGGGCTGCTCCTCCACCAAGAGTAAGGTCACACACCAGCAAACCCATCATTAGAGTTGAAATTGTTGTGAATGAATTGAACCTGGTCTGCCTTACCTAAGCTGTTTCAGCTGTTTGGCACACAGTACTCTCATAGACCAACCCTGGGCAATCAAAGATGTCTGTACTTCCTCTTATTGCCCATTGGGTAGAACTTGGTCACAAGGCCACACCTAGCTGCAAGGGAGACTGGACAAGGTTTACACTAGGCATCCTTGAGTACAGCTAGAAGAGATTTCTAGGGAGACGACAGTTTCCGTCATAAGCAGAGAAGAATGAATCAGGTAAAGGGATACTTCCAGATTTCTGGGAATGATGGTGTCCTGATACACTATTCTTTCCTGCCAGATGGAGTATGGGTGCAGTAGCTGGCACTCAAACAGCCATTTTGGACCCTGAGTTAATATGACCTTGGGGCATCTACTGCCCTATCTTTGTTCCTGATTCCCCTTCTACAGAACTGAGTTGGGGTGGGGGGGGGGCTGGAGAGATGACTCAGAGGTTAAGAGCACTGGCTGCTCTTTCAGAGGACCCGAGTTCAAGTACCAGCAACCACATGGTGGCTCACAAGCATCTATAATGAGATCTGGTGCCCTCTTCTGATGTGCAGACATACATGCAGACAGAACACTGTACATAATAAATACATCTTAAAAACAAAACAAACAAACAAAAAACCCTGGAAGAGGAGGCCTTCCTCTTGAGCCTGGCAGGTTGGGGCAGGAGGCATGTGAGCAAAGGTGGCGGTTCTGAGCTGGGGACAGGGCATATCTGAGTCAGGCCAGTCTGAGACCACTCACTGCTGGTTCCGGGGCTGGGCAGGGGTGCCCATTCCCACCGCTCACCTGTACTTCCTGCCTCTCACATACATCCTCCTGCCTTGTCTTCCCTTCCTGTGCCTGCTTCCCACTCCTCTTCCCATCCCCACTCCCATCTCCCAGTGTTGCCAAGGCCTTGGGTGTGAACACTGTGGCGGCACAGACCTTGAAGCTGTTTTACGAACATCCCATTTTCTCTGAGGTCATCTCAGACCAGGAGGCTGTGGCTGCCATCGAGAAGTTTGTGGGTATGTATGGACTTAATTAATACCATTCATGAAAGAGTGAGCCTGCATCTGCTGCCATCAGTTACTAGATGAAGGCTCTCTGATGACAATTAGGACAGTCACCACTCTGATTACAGTAGATGGCCAGTTAAGGCATCCTCTCCACTATCGATAGGAGTCTTAGCTGGGGTCATCCTTGTGGATTAGTGGGAGCCAAGCACTGGGTTGAGCCCTGGGAGTCCTGTTGAAGAGAGGATCAAGGTCATAAAATGGGAAACCCAACAGCTGACCCCAGCTCTTGGGAGCTCAGATTGTGAGCCTGCATGGGACAAGCCTAGTCTCTCTGCATGGTTGTGACACTTCTGTAGTTTGGTGTTTGTGGGGCTCCTAGCAGTGAGATCAGGACCTGTCCCTGGCATTTATGTGGCAACCCAATCCTCATGCTGGGTTGCCTCACTCAGCTTTGATGCAGGGGGAGGAGCTTGGTCCTGCCCAACTTGAAGTGCTATATTTGTTGACTCCCATGGGAGGCCTGCCCTTTCTGAATGGAGACAAAGGAGGAGTGAATGGGGAGGGGGATAGAGGGAGGAGAGGAGAGGAGGGAAGGGAAACTGTGATCAGTATGTAAAGTAGATGAGAAAAAATTTAATTAAAAAATTGCCAGGCAGTAGTGGCACACGCCTTTAACCCCAGCACTCACTCAGAGGCAGAGGCAGGGGGATCTCTTGAATTTGAGGCCAGCCTGGGCTACAGAGCGAGTTCCAGGATGGCCAGGGCTACACAGAGAAACCCAGTCTTGGAGGGAAAAAAAGACCATAAAGGATAATACACATTGCCAACTGTTAATAACTGCAGCTTGTGCCACACACCTAGGCTCCTATAACCCTCTCAGATGCCTGAGAGCTCAGCATAGGCTGAAGAAACCAGGCTGGGTTCAGCCTAACTGCTCCCAGCCACGGCGAGAGGTTTGGTCCAAGACTTAATGGTGTTGACAGCTGACCAGCCCCCTTTCCTGCAGATGATGAGAAGATCCTGGTGGAGCCTGCGTGTGGGGCAGCACTGGCCGCAGTGTACAGTGGAGTGGTGCGCAGGCTGCAGGATGAAGGCCGGCTGCCAGCCTCGCTGGCCTCAGTGGTCGTCGTTGTGTGTGGTGGCAGCAACATCAGCCTGGCGCAGCTGCAGGCCCTTAAGGTGCAGCTGGGCCTGAATGGACTGCCCAAGTGATGTCCACTGCTGTCCTGGCCACCCTGAGAGGGACACCAGCCACCCCTAAGTAGTGTGGGCAGGGGATGCACCTGACAGTGGTCCCACCCTCCCTTTACATGTTTATAATGTGCACTTTTTCATTGTAAATAAACAAATATATATATATATATATATATTTATAAAGCAAAGACTCTTAGATTTTGTTCGTTTGTGACATGCGGTTTATGTGCAGCCCAGGCTGGCCTCAAGTTGGAGATCCTACTTGGGCCTCCTGAGTGCTGAGACGACAGACATTGGCTACCATGCCACACCTGCCCTGGCTCCCAGAGGAGAGATGCTCCCCACACAAAAGCTGGTCACTTGGGTCTCCCAGGGGACTGGTGTAAGAGTGGGGCCCACACATTCATAAATCTAGAGAGGCCGTAGGGTAGGGGCAAAGCAGCTGGGGGAGGCATAGGCAAGGCCGCTGCATTCTATCATGAAGTTCTTACTGACAGGTCAAGGACATCCTGAAACATTAGTGGCCCCACCCATGTGCATGAAAATCAACCCTGTACTCTCATAAGACAGGGAAGGGGAAGTGAATTGACCTTTGTGTCAAACACCTCCCCACCCAATAAAATTCCTGACAGACACTGGGTTGGCTGGAGCAGAACCACTCACACCTCTCAGGACTCAGGGATGCTGACTGGATTAGGTCTTTCACTCCACAGCATGGCAGGGCTCTAGGACACCATGAAACCATGGCTGGTCTACATCAGTGCAGTTAACTTTTGTGCACACCACAGAGGGACATTTCCCTAACTTTCCTAACAAGGCTCGGGTACTGAAGGTTCAATGAGGATCTACTGCACCACAGCCATCATTGCAGGGGTCCTTGACATATTCCAGGGAGTGCAGCTCACGTCTGGCAGGACTCCACCAACAGATGAGGTAGGAACAGGACTAGAGCCCAGACCACTGGGTCACAGGCTGTGAGCTCTGTGCCCCACAGCAGGGCAGCCTGTGAGACCACATGGGGAAGACCCAGGTTCTTGTGGGTCTCTGGGACTCACTGAGGACTTGGGGTCTGGGTGGTTAGCAGGGCAGGCCAGACTAGGACCCAGAATACACCACACGAGATGGATGCTGAGCAGAAGGGTTGATAGGCAGAGAGACTAACAGGGACAAACAGACATATAGGGAGGAACAGACAGGTGAGCAGAGACAGACTGATGGTGGACTGACAGATGAAAAACACAAAGGTGTGGTGGCCCACACATGTAAATCCAGCACATGAGAGGTGAAGGCACAGTGACCACAAGGTCAAGACCAGCCTGTTACAGAGCAGAGGTTGTGTCTAAAACCAGGAGGAAAGGAGGGTGCAGTTCTAGATGGGTGGGGAGGTGAGGATGGATAACAGAATCGGTAGATGAGGGACTGGGTAGGCAGGTGGCTGGCTGGCTGTGTGCATAGATGGTGACATGGATGGGGGAGTGAATGGGTGAGTGGACAGATGGGCAGGTGGCCAGCTATGCAGACAGACAAGTGGGTAAGGGGACTGGCACAGGAGTGAAAGGACAGATGGATGTCGAGAACAACAGACAGGGTGTGGTGCCAGAAGGCCGCACCTCCTCACTGCTGCCTCATGAGACACAGCAGGGCCATGGTCCCTCCTGTTTAATGGGAGTACAACCCATGCTTTGCTTACCACTGCAGAGTCAGGGACACCTACCAGGAAGCCAAAGGCAGGCTTGGGCTGCGGGGGTGGGTGGGGTGGGGTGTGGGGCAGGAGTATAGAGTGATGATGTACCCCTCCTGCAGAAAGAACACTCAAGACCCTCCAGCTAAAAGCAGCCAGAAACTTTGGTTTTTTGTTTTCAAGCTTCTATCCTCAGGAAAGCTGCCCAGAGAAGGGGACATGGACTGCTCCCTGAGGAGATGGGCCCGCAGGCTAGTAGTGACAGCAATGATAAGCCCTATCAATGTCCCCCACACACACACTGAGGGACCAGCACTAGGAAAATGGCGCCCAGAATCCCACCAGGCCCACAGCCAAGCACAAGCCCCAGCCCACTGGTGACAGGGGCAGAGAGAAGGAGTGATGGAGGGCAGAAGACTTGGGGATGGAGTCAGCTCTGAGCCTACTGGGTTTGTGTCCCTGCAGAGGAGACCACACAGACCAGAGTCCAGTGAGGACAGAGCCCCAAAGGGTGGGTAGCAGGTGTGTGACCCTACTGGCCACACAGAATGAAGGCAACTGGGTGGAGGCAAAGTCTCAGTCCCATGGGACACTGATGGGTGAGAATGTCCAGAGATCAGGCTGGCCCATGTGAAGCATGCTGCGGAACGGCGATAAACTCCACTGGAATGGGGGCAACTGATCCCACGTTGGGCCACTGGCTGCCAGCATGCTCATGCGCTTGGCCAGTGAAAAGCTGGTCACCTGGAGGCCAGAAAGCAGGACACTGAGTTGGTGGGGCTCAAGCTGGGGCCTAACTCAAAGCACCATTCTGAAGTTGACCCAACTGCAGCCCAGGTCTGACCTCTGACCCTGCACCTGTTCCATCCACCCTTCCCCAGGGCATGTGGCATCTGGCTTGGATGACAAACCTTCACATCGATGCCACCGTGGGGACGCTGGTACAGGGCTTGAAATGGGTAGGAGCCATTGGCAGGATTGAGGTCAGAGCGGGCAGAGATGGCATTCTCTGCATTGGGCTTCGGGATACAGGCTTCACACAGTGACAGAGGGTCGTGAAGGAAGTTGTTGTACCTGGGTACAGATGGAAGAGATGATAGTCACCCTGGAGAAAAGCCAAGCTCTACATGGCATAGGGTGGTCCTGACCCTTCCTGAACTTTCTAGGCTTCTCCCAACACCAGCTCAGGCAGGGCCAGATATGGACCATCTCACCTCTCCACAGGGACACCCTAGCCCCAGATGTAGACCACCTTCACCCCTCCATGGGGTCACCCCAGCCTCATCACTGGGCTCTTCCTGAGGGAGGTTTTCCAGGTCCTTCCTCCATGCAGACCCCACAGATGGTCTATTCCTCAACAACATCTGTGGGGACTCAAGTCTCCCAAATACACTTCGTCTCCAGCCTGGGTCCTGGACAGGCATCTCCACCTCCCAAGAGAAAGGGATTCCCCCAAGGATGGCAGGGAGCAAGGCCCACCACCTGCAGACCAAGGGTGGTGGCAAGGTTCAGTGGTACTGTCACAGACACACAAGCCAGGAGTGTGCTGACCCACCTTATGAGCCGGACCATGGAATTCATGTCCTCCACCAGCGACTGGTCCCTCTGGAAGATCTGAGCTCGAGGGTTCTTAGTGTAGGAAAACCAATCTCCATATTGGGCCACCAAGTCCTGCAGCCCACTGGCGTTGAACACAATCTCAAAGAACCTGCTGGGACAAGGGTGGTCACCCACGACTCCCACTGGCCATACTGGCTGTGGCTCTGGCCAGGTTGGTGGGAGGGGCAGTCACAGTGGAACTGCTGTCAGGGCCAAACATGTTGCAGCAAGGCCCTCTTGTACTGTAGGGGATGAGCCTGGGCTCTGGGCTCAAATCTTTCAGCATTCTCTGACCATGGAGCTGTGGGTGAGCAAGGATCCCTGCCTCAGTTTCCACATCACTGGAATGAGAACAGGCTGCTACACTCATGTATCATGGTCACAAGGACCTGGTGGCAGGTCCTTACATTCTGAGAAAGCACAGGATGAAAGATAGCTCTGAGGAACCCAGCTGGGTTTATTGGGACTCAGCCTTCCCAGCCATGCTTAACATCAGCCTGGGTATCATATGGGCATCTCCACCTCTCAAGGACAAGGGTGGGTCCAGCTGAATGCCTGGAAATACCCAGTCCCAAGGTGTGGCCATCCCAAGTCACCCTGCACAGGTACCAGATCTGGAGGCCACACATGAAGTAGAGCTTTCCCAGCAGGAGAGGGGCTGGGGCAGTTCTCACTGGGACAGATGTGGGGTGGGGGACATGGAAAAAGGAAGGATACATACGGGATGTTGTAGCTAGCCCAGTAGGTTGTCTTGTAGAGATCTTCAGTCTTGTCGGCCACCACCACCATGCCCCTGAGACCCAGAAAGACGGACAAAGCAAGTAAGGCGACAACTCATAGGGCAAAGCCAGTGAGGGCTCTCAGGGCCCTTGGTAGGAACTGTGCTGTGTTCTGAACCTCCTGCCCCCATAGGGGGCACCCCTCCCCTAAGCCCCCCTTCCTCCCTCTGCCCCAGGGACTCACGGGATCTGTTCTAGGATGGTAAGCACTCGGCTTCCAGGGCTGGGCCCGTTGGGGATGAATGCCTTGTAGTCCACAATCATCCATTGGTTATTATACCTGCCAGGCACAAGGAAGGAACTACATCAAGCCTGGATCGCTTACAGGAGAGGAGAAAAGAAAATCTGTTCATTCTTGAGTCTCGGTTTCCCAAGTATAAAACAAGGAAGGGGCTCAAGCTGCTCCAGTGAGCATCTGTGAGAAGGGGCTGGGCAGAAGTGCTGAATGGTCTCCAAGTAGAGGCTGCAGGGCCAGGAATGCACGCACGTGCCACTATTGAACTGCTTGAAGATGTCTGCCCAGGTGGCCCCGTCCAAGGCCAGGCGGTTGGCCACGATGTTTCGAATCCACTCCAGCACACAGCCCTGGGGCTGCACGTACTTCCACAGGGCTGGATTCTTGTTGCCAATGGTGGTCTCCAGGGTGACCTGTGAGAGACAAGGTGGGCCACAGATGCCATGTGACAGTGCTGCCCTGTCTTGGCTCAGAAGTCAGTGTTGGTTCTTCCCTTACAGTTCTAACCTGCTTTGGTGCACACCCCTTATGGATTCCTTGGAAAAGTACTTGGTACAAGACTCAGGATCTTGTAGCCAGCTTTGACTTGGGGACTGGACTCCCGGAAGCCCAGAGTACCACTCCTAGGTGCCTCCCTTGTCAGAGGGTGATGTCTCCCCCAAAGGGCAGCATTTTCATCTTACCCTTCTCTCAGCTTTGCAGGGAATACTAGTGGCTTGAGGCT